TACAACATCGTTGGTGAGTCTTCGGTTTGCACTGGCCCTCCTCCTCTTCCTCCCCAACGCTCTGGTACTTCTCTTTGGGTGGCAAACCACCAGGACCCGACAATTGGCGTTTACTAAACGGCCCTGGGCGTTTACTAAACAGCCCTGCCCTGTTTGACTCCTTCTTAGAATGCGTTTACTAAACGGCTTCGCGTGTCGGGGTGATTATTATGGAGGTGAAGTTTCTGCGCTCTACTTTCCCCCCCCCTCCCCACCCCTCCTCTTCTTTCTTCCCCCGCTCTTGCAGCCCTCCTCCCCCCCTCGCCCATCCCCCCTCCTCGCGGGGAGACGGACGAGGGAGGCAGCCGGGAGGCAGCACAGTCGACCCATGTCCTGGACCTGCCCCCTCCCCCTCCTCCTCCTCCTCCTCCTCTTCCTCCTCCTCTTCCTCCTCCTCCTCCTCCTCCTCCTCCTCCTCCTCCTCCTCCTCCTCCTCCCCGCGGCCAGGCGTTCAGGCGAATCTGGCCATCCCGGCCCTGGTCCACGATGCCCCGTTCCGCCCCCGCCGAAGAATATCTTCCAGGCCAAGAACGCCATCGTTACCAAGCTCTGGCAAGTGCCGCCGTCGACTTCCAGTGGCACGGCGAACGCCTCGCACAGATCGGCGCCGTTGGGATGACCTCCGCCTCGCTCGCCTGCGTCTCTGCTCTCACCAGGGCCGCCGCGCAAACCATCGACTGAAAAAACACGAGCGTGATTGTGAAGAAAACCAATCACTATGCCTGGCTCGGATGTGGCCTCGCTGAGCTTGCTCGCAACATTCTCTGGGCTGCCCACTGGACATCGTCTACCCTCGTCAGGGCGCCGGAGGCTGCCCACTGGACGTCGCCTGCCATCGCCAGCACGCCGGAGAAAGTTGCTGCGAAGCAGCCAGCGCCAGCCTCATCTTCCACCAGGCTGTGAACAACGTTGCCAACGCCATCCGCAAGAATCGGGGCCGTTGCACGCCCTCAGCGCGCGACTCCTGCATAGGCTGGAGCACGCCGCCGAGATCAATTGCGTCAATTCCAACCGCCTCCGCGCAGTGCTGAATAGTGTTCACGGTCTTCAGTGCGCGGATGGGTAGATGGACCACCAGCGCCCGCATGCGCGCAACCCGGACACTGAAGTGCCATTGACGTGTTTGCGCAGTTGCAGCCGAATGATCCATCCTCTGGCCTGCCGCCCGCACCACGCGTTGGATGCGCCCGCCCGCCCAGCCTTTCGCCGCCCTCGGGCCCCAACTGCGGAGCAGGGCGCGGCCCTGCACGCCGTGCTCGCGGCCGCCGAGCGCCTCGCCGCACCGAGAAGGTCAAGGCCCGCTCATCGGCCGCCGACCTGCACGCCCCGCTCACCGCCCTGCGGAAGCTCAAGAGCTCCCGCGTCGAGGTTCGCGCGCCGCGCCGCGCGCGCCGACCGACCGCCTCTCATTTGGCGGCCCCGCGCCTGCGCCGATGGAGCGTGCGCGCGGCGGGCGCGGCAGGCGCCGCGAAGGCTCCCCTCGCGCCGCTGCCGCTGCCGACATTCGGCGGGGACACGGGGGGGGCGGGCTTTCTCAGGAGGCGGCGGGGCTTCTCGGCAGCTTGCCCGCCTGCCAGATCATCACCTTCATCATTGCCATCATCAGAAGCATCATCATGATCATTCGTATGATTCATTTCTATCATCATCACCATCATCAGATTCATCATCGTCGTCAGCATCGCCATCATGATCACCCCTACCAATCTTATCATCATCATCATCAGCATCATCATCAGCATCACCGTCATCAGCAGCATACTAAGCAGCATCAGATGCATTATCCTCCTCATTAGCATCATCATCATCCCCATCATCAGCATCACCATCATCATTATCATCACCACCATCACCATCATACTCGCCGTCACTGTCAACATAATCATGAGCGTCATCACTGTCATCAATATCATCATCTTCATTGCCATAGTCTTTATAGTCATCATCATAATCATGACCACCATCATGGTCATCATCATCAGCAGCATCATTATCAATTTCACCGTCACCATCGTCACCATCGTCATCATCATCACCATCACCATCATCACCACCATCACCATGAACATCATCATCAGCAGCAGCATCCTCCGTCTCCGCATCATCATCAGCATCATTATTACCATCATCTGGCCGCTGCTGCCCGCCCCCTCCCCGCTATTGCAGGCACTGGGTGGCAGGTGCTCCACCTTCCTCCTGATACCTCCTCGCGTTCTTGCTCCTACCCATCGGTCGTTGAACGTAGGCTTTTTGAAGTCCCAGATTCCAATATACGTTAGGCGCCTTCCTACTTCAAGGATAAAGTGGCTTCACCTTTTCCGTCCTCTTTAGGGGGCGGGCGGACACGCAATCTTTGTTTAACGCCTTCCTACTGCATGTTTCTGACTGCTTCTTCCGTACGATCGGTACTCATGCTCTTCATCCTCCTTCCCACCTCCTCCTGATACCCCATTGTCGTGCTCTTTACCGTCCTTCCTTCAGGAGAGGGAAAAACACAGACACAATTAATCGTCGATCACCCAGAAAAAATTGGAAAATATGGGAAGTGGGGGGGAAGACAAGAACTTTAAAGATATGGAAACATATGGGGAATCTTTTTATTTGTGTGTATGTATTTCTTTGTGTGTCCCAGGGCCCCTTCATTCCTCGATTCATCTCCCTCCTCCTCCCGCCCCCCCTCGCCCCCTCCTTCCTCCCGCTGCCTCCCCCGTCCGTCCCTCTGGCCGCCGCCGCACCCCACACCCCCCCCATCCCCTGCAGGCACTCTGCAGCAGCGGCTCCCCCGTCCGTGCCGGCAGCGCCGGCTCCCCCGCCTCCACCGTGGCCGCCCCCGTGGAGACGCTGCGGCTGTGGCCCAGCAGCGACGAGGGTCGCTGTTTGTGCTTGCCCCCCTAGGGGGCCACATGCGAACCCTACCCCTACCCTCCACGATTTCTGAGTGGGAGGGTGGGGTTCACTTCGTTCGGGAACTCACCCTCCCCCTCAGAACTCGTGGGGGGTATGGGGTAGGGTTCGCATGTGGCCCCCTACCTCCCCCCTCCCGCGAGAGACTCGGCGGCTGCAAAGTGTGTGGTTGCGCCGGGGTGTGGTCTGCGAACTACGTCGCTGGGGCTTTGGGGGGCGCCGCGCCGCCCTCGTCGGGCCTCCTCGGTCCGCGGCGGGGAACGCGGTCGAGGTCGTCGGGTGCGCGCTGCAAGCCACTCCCTCTGCAAAGCCACACCTGCTGGAGCCGCCGAGGGATGCAGGCGGTCTGTCAGGGTCCACGCGAAGACTGCACATCGAGCACCCACGGTGGCGACTCGGCTCGGATCCTCCTTCGCGGTGAGGGGGGCGGACAAGGTGGGGGGAGGCCTCAGGGGCCTCGGGCTCAAGGGGGCTGTAAAGGGTTCGCAAAGGGTTCGAAGCTGTTTCCGGGTCAGGTCCACCACCACTCCTCTTCGTTTTGTTGTTCCTTCGCCTCCCTCCCTTTCCGGCGCGTATTTCTCCCTTCCTCTCCTTTCCCTATGTCTTCATCTTCGTGCTCCTCCTCGTCCTCATCCTTCTCCGCCCGTCCAGATCGTCATCGCTCCGTCCCTCGTTTCATCTGTTGGTCGTGTGGTGTAGTGGCAGGACGGTGGCATTTGGGATTGGGCCCAGATGGGGGGGGAGGAGGAGGAGGAGGAGTAGAAGGAGGAGGAGGAGGAGGAGGAGGAGGAGGAGGAGGATGGGCAATCAGGAAAAGTTGGACGAGGAGAAGGATCCGTCCAGAGTAAGGATTCGGGCGGGAACGACGACTTGACTGATGATGGTACTAGTGACCTGGATGGTGGCTACTTAGCAGTCAAGTGTTTGTTTCACACGTAAGGGGAGAAGGCGCAGACTGAGAGGTCGGAGTAGGACCGTGACAGACAAGATCGAGACTTTGGTAAAGTATAGGATGTTGATCCTGCTTGGTTTCGACTGGCGCCGAGGCTGGCATCGATGCCCTCGTTGACCTTGGCGTGGATGCTGATGCTGGTCCTTTTTGGCTGTGAGGAATGAATCAGAGGAGGTCGATCCTGCTTGCTCTCGACTGTGACGCCGACGCTGGCATCGATGTCCTCGTGGACCTTGGCGTGGAGGCTGCTGCTGGTCCTCTTGGCTGTGAGGGTGGCCACGCAACCTTCGGACAAATGCCGCGGCCCCACCAGCCGCCCCCGCGCGGGACGCCGGCGTGGCCGCCCGGGCGCACGCCAGCCAGCCGCAGGCGCCCCGGTGCACCCCCGCGTGGGCGGGGGGGGGGGGGCGCGCGCTCTTCTCTCCGCTGCGGCCACCACAGGGGGCTCTCACGAATCAAGCAGTGGCGAAGCGTCCCGGCTCGCCTATAGCCCCACCAAAGAATCTTCTAAGAACCTTTTGTGGATTCCGCGCAATGTTCTTAGAGCATTTCTGGTTGAGATTGTTTCGTTCTAGCACATCATTTATGTTCTAAGAACATTTTTTGATCTAAGAGCAATGTTTTTGTTCTTAGAACATGTTTTGGTTCTAAGAAAATTTCGTGGTAGGACTATAGGAATGCCGGGACGGTCGGTCCCTGCTCAAACGAAGACGGGGAGGGGCCCTTCGTCGAGGGCGAAGAGGTCGCATCAGATGTGTGAGTCGGGCAGGTGCCTCGACATGAAAACAGATCCAGAAACAGTGACAAAATATTCTGGGGACGAGTGTTTCTAATTTTCGGAGGTCGAGGGGTGCGATCGCAGTGGAACGGAGATCCCCGACCAGGAAATCGTTTCGTTTCATGCCGTGCGTGCGGGCGAGGCGAAGCTGCGCGGGCTCGCGAGAGGAATGAACCCGCCTTTGCTAGGGCGAAGTCAAGACAAATGTTGCTCCCCCGTCCGTCCGTCCGTCCGTCCGGCGGTGGCTCGCGGTGTCCCGTGGTGTCCCAAAAAGTGAGATCGATAATGAGATCAATAGTGAGATCGATATTGAGGTCGATAGTGAGATCGATAGTGAGATCGATACTGAGATCGATGTGGTGCCCCGAGTTGTCCCGCGGTGTCCCGAAAAGTGAGATCGATAGTGAGATCGACAGGTGTCCCGTGGTGTCCCGTGGTGTCCTGTTGAGTGAGATCGATAGTGAGATCGATGTGGTGCCCCGAGGTGTCCCGTGGTGTCCCGTGGTGTCCCAAAAAGTGAGATCGATAGTGAGATCGACAGGTGTCCCGTGGTGTCTCGTGGCGTCCCGTGGTGTCCCGTTGAGTGAGATCGATAGTGAGATCGATAGTGAGATCGATAGTGAGATCGATGTGGTGTCCCGAGGTGTCCCGTGGTGTCCCGTGGTGTCCTATGGTGTCGCGTTGAGTGAGATCGATAGTGAGATCGATAGTGAGACCGATAGTGAGATCGAGAGGTGTCCCGCGGTGTCCCGTGGTGTCCCGTGGTGGCCCGTGGTGTCCCGTGGTGTCCCAAAAAGTGAGAACGATAGTGAGATCGACAGGTGTCCCGTGGTGTCCCGTGGTGTCCCGTTGAGTGAGATCGATAGTGATGAGATCGATTGAGTCAGATGTTGGGCCCCCCCCTCTCCCCCCCCCCTCCCACAGCCTCCTTATCACCCGAAGGGTGGTCGTATAGGTATTTGTTGTGTTTACTATTTCTTGCTGTTGCCCCAAATCCGCCTGTAGGGTGACATGCCCGACCTAATATTATTTTCACTAGGAAGAGTACTCGCGCGAGTCTTGTTCGGGAGAGCGTGAGACTCGAGTACGTGGGAACTCGGGTCTGCCGACGCGCTTTGACGAGCGCGTCCTGGATTTTGACGTTCCAGTCTTCGTGGGATGTCTGCAGCGGAAGCTCGCGTCAGATTTCAAGCCAGGTCTCGTCATGTTCATGGCCTTGCCTGGCCAACCCGAGTCCCCCGAGCCCGAGTCCTGATTACGTTGCCCCCCGCTTGTGCGGAGGCCCTGTGCAGGGGAGAGGAGGGAGGAGGGAGGAGGGAGGAGGGAGGAGGGAGGGGGGAGGAGGGAGGGGGGGGAGGGGGGGAGGAGGGGGAGGGAGAGGAGGAGGGAGGAGGGGGGAGGGAGGAGGGTGGAGGGAGGAGGGGAGGAGGGACCTCGCTCGCCGTGCGCGGGGCCGTGCCTGCCTTGGGCCCTGGGCCACTGCCGGCCGAGCGCCTTCTCGGCACCAGGCCCCCCTCGGGCGCGGCCTCTCACCGACCCCTGGCCAACCATCCCCCTCCTGCCGCCCTCCCCCCCTCCCCCACCCCTCCCCCCCTCCCCCCCCCTCCCCCCCCCCCCTCCCCCCTCCTCCTCCTCCTCCCTCCTCCTCCTCCTCCTCCTCCCTCCTCCTCCTCCTCCCTCCTCCCTCCTCCTCCTCCTCCTCCTCCTCCTCTCTCCCCTCCTCCCTCCTCCTCCTCCCTCCTCCTCCCTCCTCCTCTCCTCCCTCTCCTCCCTCCTCTCCTCCCTCCCTCCTCTCCTCCTCCCTCCTCCCCCCCTCCCCCCTCCCCCCCCCCCTCCTCCCTCCTCCCTCCTCCCTCCTCCCTCCTCCTCCCTCCCTCCTCCCTCCTCCCTCCTCCCTCCGTAGCCATTTTGGCTCAAGCCAGCTCCCGCGCGGATGGTTCAAGGGCCCGCTTCTGGCGAAAGCCTATCGGCGGCCCTTCGCTCCAGCGCGCGGCGGATGGCGCGGGATGCTGCCCTCGATGGCGGCAAGGCTTCCTCAGCTGCTCGCCGGTCTGCCCGGAAGGCCGCCGCTGCTTCTGCTGAGCGAGCGGTCCATCACTTCCGCGCTGAAGCTGAGGGCTGGAAAAAGAAGTACTACGACCTGGCCTACTCCCTGGGTTCGGACAGGTGCCCTCAGCTGGGCCCTCGGCTGGCGGCCGCGGCGCCTGCGCTGGAGGCACTGCTCTTGGACGAGCCCGTGGAGCACACTGATGTCCTTCGTCGGAACGTTGCCCTGCATTCGGTTGCCGAGGGGATCGACATCGTCACCGCCTCGCCTGCCGAGCTCAACTCTGCGCAACGTGGGCCTCGCTTGGGAGCCAGGCCCCCATGTGTTGTGGCGGCTTCCTTTTCTGCACTTCGGGTATGTGCGGCGACCTTTGTGCCTGGAGCTGCCGCTCATCATGGGTTTCTTGATGGAGCCAGTTTGTGTCGTGGTGATTTCAAAGAAGCAGTCGTTCCTGATCCTTGTGGTGAAGATGGCCTTGGTGACAATGCCACCGCGGTGGAGGTCTCTTTGGACATGGATGTTGAGCACATCTCCGTGGTCGAGGAGCAGCTGCGCTCTTGGGAGGCTTTGGGTGCCGCGTCCCGCTCCTTTGTGCGCAGGCGTCGGCGCCTTGACGGCGGCTTGCGGTTGTCATCAGCTCCGATTTCGGAATCTCCCAACACCGCCAGGGGAGGGTACGACTATTCAGGGGACGAGGTCTTCGTCGGTGGCCCCGTTCCTGTGCAGTGGGTTCCGCGAGACCTGCCGCCCGACCCTGGAGAGGGCCGCCTCTTCTCCTGAGTTGGCTTCTGGTACCCTCATGTTCGTGGTCGTCATTGTCGGCATTTGCTGGTTCTGGGTAGTGGCACTTTGCGTCGTATGGCATTGTTGTTTTCTCGTGCGGGGCTCATTTTCCTGGTTCTGCCTCATCTGGTGCGGGCTGTATGGCGTGCAGCTGTCCGACGAGATCTACGGCGTTATTGTGCTGCTCCTCATTTCTGGTTTATTCTGTCAGTGTGCGGCATAGAGGTGTACTTCATCAGATGCTGGGAGTTGCCGTTTTCTCTGGGCCTTTCCGTCTTCTTCGATTTCGGCTACTCCTTCATCACCTTCCTCATTGACTTGGGGTCCTTGAGCGTGGATGTCAAAAAAAATCCTCCCTCCTCCCTCCTCCCTCCTCCCTCCGGCCGCATACATACGTCTTGATGCGAGGCGAAGGGGGCGTCACGGAGGGGGATGGTTTGCCAGGGGTCGGTGAGGCCGCTCCTGACTTTTGTGCGCCTCGTGTGGGCAGGCACGCTTCGCTCCGGCACTCCCTTCTGTTAAGCACCGTAGGCGCAAGCCTTCGGAGTTCCGAAGGCTTATGTGTGCAGTTCTGGCATCGGCCCACGGGGCCCCGAAGAGGTCCCAGGGACAGGGGCCTCGTCCTCGTCGCTCCTCCATTCTCTCCTCCTCCTCCTCCTCCTCCTCGTCCTCGTCCTCGTCCTTCTCCACCTCCTCCTCGTCCTCCCCATCTTCCTCCTCCTCCTTTACCTTGACCTTGACCAGGCTGCTGGGCGCCACGGCCCGTAGCGTGAGTCAACGGGCGGTGGCCGTCGCCTCATCGTCCTCACGGACGGAAGCGCATGCTGGCCGCACCTACCCGTTCAGGCAATCAAATGACCCTAGGCGAGTCCAGCACCAGCAGCCCGCGGACCCAGGGAAGGTGGCCCCAGAGGTCGAGAGCTCCAGAAGGTTTCAGCAGACTGACCAGGACGAACCCCAGGGCCTACAAGGGCCTGAAGTAATTAGAGAAACCACGGATGGGGAGGTAGTTCTGGTCAGGATCAGGAGCCAGTGGGAGCGTGTTGTTCTCCACATGTCTCCTAGTAAGCCTACTCGGCCTGTAAGCAGGCCCGCGGAGAAGAGCGGGAAGGCAAGGCGAGAAACCAGGACGATGGCCCAGGAGTCAAGTGAGGCTGGTCGAGGGGGCCCGCAACGGGGTGGCGCTCGGCTGCCACGTCCGCCACCCGAGCAGGCCCCTCTCAATTCGCCCCCGCGCCACACACAGGAGGAGCTCGGAAGCCAGAAGGACAGGAGCGATGCGACATGAAAGGTGATGACACACCGCGGGTGATGGAACAAAAGGAGTGATGTATCTAGCGACAGCGCCTGGCGATCTCAGCGCGAGCTGCCAGCGCAGTCGTGTGGCGCTCCAGGCCCAGCTCGCCGTCGCCGCTGGATGGCGGTGTCGCCACCGCGTGGACTGCCAACAGAGATCCCTGCCAATGCGTCGGTATGGCAAGACGTCGAACGCGAACATGTTGGAATGCTCTTCGAACCCGAGGAAGCTGTTCCACCAGCACCGTTGCTGCCAGTGGAACGCGCGCAACCGCAGCAATACAAGCCTTGAACGCCAGCTCCAATACATACAAAATTCCCCTCAACTCACTATTGCTCCGTAGAGCAGCTGTTTGATCCTTGACAATCAGTGCATGCACTCCCCAGGGAGAGTCAGCACTGCGCAGCTGAATTTGAGGGGCTGTCTGCACAGTACTTTGAGGTGCCCGCTCTCGTAGTAGCCGCGTCTCGCCAGCAGTCATCGTCGTGGCTCTCCTCGTTCGTTACCATGAAGTAAGTCGGGCGCAGATCAGAACATCAACAACTCTTCCCACTCGCAGCTTGTTGAGTACATCGTTTCCCAGAGTATCAGACATCAGTTGACAATCGTCATCTGTAGTGCTTGTCATTGTGCATGCCGCAAGCGCCGATCGTGAGGAACAATTGTTCCACCTGCTTATAGTTGCAAGCTGTTCTTCGCAGAAGCCATGCACAGTATGACAGTTTGAGGGACACCAGAGTGGTGGCAATCTCAGGTCGAGCTCCTTCGCGTCGGCATCTGCTTGCACAGTAGGCTCTTCTGGGTGCTCGAATGGTTCACCGCTACCTCCCCAGTGACAACACCCCCAGCCCCTCCTCCAATATTAGGGCGCCGAACATGTCTCTTGATCTTGAACCTATGGTAGTTCATGCGCGCGCGCTCCTGTCCCGTCGTCATGTCCAACTCGCGTAACTGGAGTGGTCTGTCTCTGTCCAGTAACGTGATGTTGAACTTGAGCCAGTTCACACATGTATCCCCTACGTTGCGCAGATGCTTCACCAGTTGAGAGCTGTCCCCGAATGTCGTCCCGCACGCTGGGCACAACGACCCCCAGGCAACCTGCTGGGCCAAAACAATAGGGCCATGTCGGAGTCGGTGCTTCCTCAAAGCAGCGGCATTGTTGAACGTTTCTCCACATTCGTAGCAGATGTATCTCGCCGTTACAGGTTTAGCAGGAACATGTTCTCCAGTCATATCTTCAAGCTGCTTTGTCCAGATCATAGTTCGTTGGTAGTCCAACTCACGCTCCATCCAGTGCTGCCGCACTCGCTTGACACGTGCTCGGAATTGCCGCGGTGCCTGTATAGCATAACCGAGCCACTCTCTCAAGGTCCAATATCGTCCGTTCGGTTTTGGGCCATCTGTAGTTAGCCAGCGGAACTTCTCCACCAAGAGTTGTCACCAAGAGCCTTCGGCGGTATGGAGTAGGTCCACGAGCTGAAAGAGCATCTGCGGTGCTGCAACAAAGAGAGATCTAACATATAACAGCCGACGCAGTCGAATCAGATATTTGATGGGGCCCTCTGCGCCAGGACGTAAATCTGTTGATCGGAGTAGAATGCCTGGTCTTCAGCACGATGGGAACGGCCCAGAACAACTCGATACGACAATAACCTTGGAGTTTCCAGTGCCTGCAGCTGCGGATTTGAAATTGATGACCAGACCTCTGTCAGGTAGTACAGATGAACGTTGCACAGAACATCCACCAAGTTCAGCCTGGCATTTGAACTCATACTGTGAAAACGTGCGCACATTCGACGCATGAGATCCAAGGCACCCTTCTGCTTGCGGGCGGCCTCTGCGACCCTTGATCCCAGCGAAGCACCACTGTCCAGCATTGTCCCAAAATATTGGCACAAGCTGCAGTTCCCGACCTCCTGACCATATTTGGGCGACTTGAGCTTCATATCTGAAGAATCCTCCAATTGGATCTGGACTGTATGAGCCCCATCGCCAGCCGGCGTGATCATCAGAGGTGACTTGTTCTTCTTAGAGTTTATCGTGAACCCGTGTGTGGCCATGCTGTGACATGTGGCGTCCACAAGACACCCAGCAATGTCAAGTACGTCGGAAGTGTCCCACGGTGCCAGTAAGAAAGCCCGTCGTCTACAACGGAAATATCCGTCAGCTCAGTTGTTGTGGTTGATCCTGGAGATATCATTTCATCTGCCAATGTCGCAAGGTCGATGCAAGCTCCAAGTTCAAAGATCGCATCTGAGGCCGCCTGCAGTAGAATTCCAAAATTAGTGTCGCGGTGGCTCTCGATCAGGAGAGCAAGCAAGTCGGGGCGATCTTGCGGGGAGCTGAGCGCAGCAGGCTGCGCAATAACAAACGTGAACATCGGCACTAGGGTGAGGGGGATATCATGATTGTGTAAGACAACACTTAGGTCCTCGTCGTCGTCTACAGTTGGAGGTGCAAGCGAACGTATAACTGAATAACACGCTGCTCGCAAATCGATGAGAAAAAAACAGCATAGTGCTAACTCTGCTCCGCCGACACAGCTGTTGAAAGCTGGTCACAGAGTGTAATAGCTGTCCAGGGCCACGTCTGGCTCGTCCTCCTGCCTGCGCGTCTCGTAGCTGCACCTTACAGTATCCCGCCAGCTGGTCTCGCAGAAGGCGGTGCCAACACTTACTGGTTTGCCCGTTGAGTAGCGCCGACCGATAGTGCTCCAAGACCGAGGGTGATCCAACCCCCTTGTACAAAGCGAATGCCACGCCGTGTTTCCAATCGAGTGGTCCTTGTCGGTGAATGCTTACCATTGCAAATATCGAAAAGGGCAACCTGACGCAGATTAAGAATTCACTTGGCACCGGTGGTCGTATTTGAGTAGTCGTGATGCGCTCTGCTGTTGTCGTGTGCAGTTTGTTTGCTCTCCGTAGTGATCTCGGCGTCTTCAGTAGCAGCGAAGTGCTCTACTGTCAATTGGGCCTCCTCGGCCGCGGACTGAACAGGTTCCCCGTCAGGCCGCGGCAGATGGGGCAAGAGGGCTCTCATGAGCCCCCGTTCTCCATGAGCATCTCCCGCCTGTGCTGCTGATGCCTCTTGCTCGCCAAGACGTTCATGGCGTTGAGTGCGATCGTGTGAAATGAGGTGACGAACTAGCTTCGCCATGGCATTGGGGAAGCCTCGGAGCTCGATGTGCAGTGCTCCGTCATCCATGCTGGAATCGATGCGCTTGGTTGAAAGGGCCTGCCGAAGTTGCGCCGTATGTGTATGCCATGGTCGATCTGAAGGTGGATGCAGTAGCCGAGCCTGAAGATGGAGAAGCAGATGCATCCATGGCGGTTCTGATGGTTGAGATCGGAGGGCTGCGTGTCGCACGGCTTGCGTAGCGCCGAAGACGGATGAGTTCCATCGTCGTGGTGTCGATGTACGGCCTGATTGGCGTACACCGATCCGCCGAGAAAAAGGCCGCTGTAGCATCCCATACGCATTGGTCTGTATGACTCCGGTGTCGTTGATGCCCGAGCTCCAAGATGGTAGGGAATCTCTTCCAAGTATCGATGCCAACTTCTCCTTGGCGACGGGATCGTCTAACTTGTTCTGGTCTAGCTTCAATGTGGCTGTGGATGTGGTAGGAGACTATACGTGCGCGCCCCAGAAGACTGCGTAGACTGGATAATGATCACCTCTCTGTGAATGTGTCGAAAGAGTA